GTTTTCATGGTGGTTTGTCTGTGTTTTCTCATTACTCATGGATGGCGAGTCTGGGGTAGTATGATGTAATGGAAAGTACAGGGTGTGATATTTGGAGTCAGAGAAAACTGGTCAGAATCCTAAGCTTGGTGTTGTGGCTTTCAACCACATGAAGTTGCTTAACTTCCATGAATCTGAGTTTCATTATCATTAAAAATACAATGATAATATTATATAGTAATATTATTTCAGTATTGATATACAGAACAGAGACTTTGAATGTAGTAGATATTAAAGTAGGTGTTCATAGACAGTGCTTGCTTTTATTATTTTTACTGTTAGGATTATTGCTGTTTACAGCATTATTAATATTACTATTATAAAAATATAGGTAGCATTGCCATATTCAACTTCAAAACTCTCCTTTTGCCGGACGTGCTGGCTCACGCCTGTAATCCTAACACTCTGGGAGGCTGAGGTGGGTGGATTGCTTGAGCTCACAAGTTCAAGACCAGCCTGACCAAGAGTGAGACCCCTATCTTTACTAAAAATAGAAAAACTGAGGCAAGAGGATTGTTTGAGCCCAAGAGTTGGAGGTTGCTGTGAGCTGTGGTGATGCTATGGTACTCTATCCAGGGCAATAGCTTGAGATTGTCTCAAAAACAAAAAACCTCTCCTTTTATCTGCTTAACAGAAATATCCTTAACAATTGATAAAATGAGAGATAGTTCACAGCTTATTTCACAGCTTTGACTGTGTGGGACTTTGTGGGATACATATAGATAGATGATTTATGGATTTTTGTTTCCGGTCTTTTTAGGTGGTTGTCATATGGGACCCCCTTGTTCATTGGTCTGGCATCAGTTAAATATTGGTCATGGGCACTGATGATCTTTTGAGAGTAAGAATATGTTTGATGAAGCTAGTGATCACTGGCTTCATTTGTAATTGAGCCTAACTTAAGGTGGCTGGGTATTATTAAGGCATAGCTAAGAGTATTTTTGATGGTCAATAATACAGAGTTCTTTAGGTCAAAAAGGAGCTTTCCTAAGCAGATTTTTGCTGTATTCCAGCAAATCATCATAAGTAAAAGTGAATTTTTAATGTAAAGGTTAATTCTAAAAGATATTGTGGAGTGTTGTTCACATTTAATTTTATGAAATTCTGGGTTTTCAGCCTATATCAGTTTACAAATTGTGATTTAATGAAAGAACCTTTCATTATGGTTCTTATGGACATTATGCTATGTGAAATAATCCAATCACAAAAGATGAATAATTCTGATTTCATTTATATAAGGTTAGAGAAGTCAAATTCATAGAGACAGAAGGTAGAATGGTGGTTGTCTGGTACTAAGTGGAGAAGGAGTAATAAGTTATAGTTTAATAATTACTATAAAGTATTTTAGTTTTATGAGATGAAATGAATTCTGTGCATGGATAGTGGTGATGAGAGCACATTAATATGAATGAACTTAATTTCACTGAACTGTATACTTAAAGATGGCAAATTTAATGTTTTATATATTTTACTGTAACAAAAACTTGCAGTTTAAATGTAGCAATAGAAGTAGATATTGAAATATTAAAATAATATAAAAGAAATAGGCCCAGCACGATGGCTCACACCTATAATCCTAGCACTCTGGGAAACCAAGGCAAGTGGATTGCCTGAGCTCACAGCTTTGAGACCAACCTGAGCAAGAGTGAGACACCATCTCTAACAATAGCTGGGCGTTGGGGCAGCCACCTATAGTCCCAGCTACTTGGGAGGCTGAGCTAAGAGAATCTGAGCCCAAGAGTTTGCTGCGAGCTATGATGCTGTGGCACTCGACTGAGGGCAACAAACTGAGACTCTTGTCTCAAAAGCGAGACACCAGCTCTAAAAATAGCTAGGCGTTGGGGTGGGCACCTATAGTCCCAGCTACTTGGGAGGCTGAGGTAAGAGAATCTGAGCCCAAGAGGTTGCTCTGGGCTGTGATGCTGTGGCACTTGACTGAGGGCAACAAACAGAGACTCTGTCTCAAAAAAATAAATAAATGAATATGGAAGTGGGTCATCCTTTACATAAATGGGATTGATTTGTTAGAAGGAGGACTAAGAGCTAAGTGGAGGAGGATTGATGTTGAGTGAGAGAAAGTGCAAGGAGAGAGCAGAGATGGGAAAAGAGAAAGAAAAAGAGAAAAATTGTGTGTGAAAGAGAAAGAGGGAGGGGATAGTATTAGTGAGTATTTCTGAGGGCTGAAACATGAGAGTTCCAGCAAAAGAATACACAAACTGTGTGACTAAGTCAACTTTCCAAGGCCCACAGATCTGTGTGTTGTGCTGTTAGACAGCATAGTTGTGTTGGATTATGAATGTTACTAAAAGTTAGAATTTTCCTACAAGAATCAAAAGAGCTAGATCAGGCATGGTGACTCATACCTGCAATCCCAGTGCTTTGGGAGGTTTAGGTGGGAAAATCACTTGAGGCTAAGAATTTGAGATCAGCCTGGGCAATGTAGCAAGACCCTGTCTCTAAAAAAAAAAAATAAATTAGTGCTGAGTTGTGGTGCATGCCTATAGTCCTAGCTTTTCAGGAGGCATGGGCAGGAGGATGATTTGAGCCCAGAAATTCGGGGTTGTTAGTGAGCTATGATCATACTGCACTGCAGCCTGGGCAACTAAGGTCTAAAGAGTTGGAGTGAAATAGTTACCCAAAAGTTTACAAAGTCTCTTAAAAACAATCAGGTTCTAAAGAGGTAGCTTATATTATTTCACTATCTACTAAATCTGTTTTATAAAGCAGGGAATACTAATAGCATTTGAATCTTTAAGGGTAAAATATTATATTTTAGCCCTTTAATACTTTCACTTCCTTCTTGAGAGGTGGGATCCTATGCTTTTTATAACTTTTTTTTTTTGCAGTTTTGGCTGGGGCAGGGTTTGAATCCGCCACTTCTAGTATATGGGGCCTGTGCCTTACTTCTTTGAGCCATAGGCACCTCCTGGATCCTATGTTTTTTGCTTTACATATTAATATCTGCAATTGTCAATCTTTTACTTTTTTATTTTATGAATTGTCAGAGTTTATGCTAGATGATTTTTGGTAACTATATGTTTAAGTTATATATAAATCTTAAAAAGCAACTTATTGCCTTAAGTTCCTAGAAACTTGATCTTTATATAACATACTTAACAGATTTACTGTAATTTGAATTACATATTTCAACAAGCATGTTTTAATTATCCTTATGTGGCAAGTTTTGATCTAGTAGGTTCTCGGGTTTGAAACATACCTTATAGTCTTGACCCACAGGGAACTTAAATCTGAGAATGAAATTGGAAGGGTTAGACATGTAGTTAATTTTGCAAATTACTATCCCATCAAAAATGGAAAAGGCTGTAGAGCCCACCTTAATTTAGTAGTTTTGAATTGTATTCTGGCTTAACTGTTTTCTGGGTCCTATTGTGTGTGTGTGTTGAGGTTGGGAAGCTGGATAAAGAAAAGGTGTGCTATGTTTTCTCTACTCAGGCTTCTATAGAATACCTCTGTTTCTATTTGTTTTACATATTGAGCTTCCAAGAAGATTCCATTTTAGGAAAGTGTTCTACACCTTAAAAATAAAACTTGTAAACCACTGACTAATTTATGTATCTTTCATTTTCACTGGGAAAACCGAGGAGGTAAGAGGGATGATTGTTTTGCCCAGAATCACTTATTTTGCAGGACTGAGACTAGAAACAAGGTCTGTTGACTGTGAATCTATTATACCTTTCTATTTTGCTGAATCTTTCTTAAACTTCCTTTACAATACAAATGTCAGAATTATTTGTGGAGGTCAGTTGTGCCTATACAATTGTCTTTTGGGATACTTTTTTTCTTATAAAGCAGCATTTCTTTTACCCTCCTTTTCTCTTTCCTTCTCCTTCAGGATTGTGAATTGTGTATTATTCATAATTGATAAACAAGATTTATAATCTTTTTTTTTTTTTTGAGACAGAGCCTCTTAAGCTGTCCCCCTGGGTAAAGTGCTATGGCATCATAGCTCCAGCAACCTCCAATTCCTGGGCTCAAGCGATTCTCCTGCCTCCGCCTCCCAAGTAGCTGGGACCACAGGCGCCCGCCACAATGCCTGGCTATTTTTTGGTTGCAGCCATCGTTGTTTGGCGGGCCCAGGCTGGATTTGAACCCACCACCTTAGGTGTATGTGGCTGGCGCCTTAGCCACTTGAGCCACAGGCACCGAGCCCAGATTTATAATCTTTATAAAGATGTCAAGAAAAGCTACCTGATGTCCCATTTAAAAAATTAATGTCCTAGGTGGTGTCTCACACCTGTAATCCCAGCACTTGGGAGGCCAAGGCAGGTGGATTGCCTGAGCTCATAGCTTTGGGACCAGCCTGAGCCAGAGGTAGACCTCATCTCCAAAATTGCCAGGTGTTGTAGTGGGCGCCTATAGTCCCAGTTACTTGGGAGGCTGAGGCAAGAAAATACTTACGCCCAGGAGTTTGAGGTTGCTGTGAGCTATGACGCCATGGCACTCTACCAAGGGCTACAAAGTCTCAAAAAAAAAAAAAAAAAATCAGTGTGTGCTTTTCAGCCTGATATAGATAAATAATTAAATGTACTAGAACCAAAATAGGTCTGCTATTTTCCTATGGGGATAGAAGCAATAGGTACTATCTAGTGTGTATTTGTACACCTGTCATCCTTTGATAAAAGTGCCATTTTCATTTTCTTTTAGTTTTTGCTTCATTAATTTTGAACTGGTTGTGTTTTGATAGGCCAAGTAGGTAACATCAAATGACAGCAAGTAGCAAGTATGTCATTTGGAGTCTGATGCTTCTAAGATATCTTCTTCCAACTTTGGTCTTTCAGAACATTTTATTAATTACTTGTCATCAAATTGTACCATCCTGATGTGTTATTTTTGGAAGAAGTGTTTCAGTATGTCTTTTATAGATATATTGTAAAATGATATGAGTATTTGGGCCTTTGGGTTGGATCAATTAAAATCTAATAACATTTTTTTTTATGCAGATCTTTGATGGAAAACAAATTCCAAAGAGAATGGTTGATGGATGGAATGCTTTTTTCTTTGATAAAACAGAAGAACTGGTAATTTTTAAGTAGTCTTTGTGTTATAGAATGCTCACTAATTTTTTTTAGGATCTGCATAATTTAATAATTTTAATTTGATTTGCTATTCATATTTTGGATGGTACCGTATAGTTGTTTCTTTTCTACTTATTTGTAGAAAAAGCGTTTACCTTCACTTGGAAAGAATACAGAATCATTAGGAGAGCTTTGGTTGGGACTGCTTCGCTTCTATACTGAAGAGTTTGATTTTAAGGAGTATGTTATTAGCATTCGGCAGAAAAAGCTGTTAACAACTTTTGAGAAGCAGTGGACATCCAAATGCATTGCAATTGAAGGTAATCATTTAAGCTGATATTCAGTCACAAAACAAAAATTTGGCTAAGGAAATTGAGGACAAAACTAGAATACATTCCGATTTGGAAGATTTTTCCTCTCTTGATTTTATTTAAAGTTTTTAAAAAATTTTTTATATTTAGAGATGGGATCTCACTATATTGCCCAGGCTGGACTCAAACTCCTGGGCTCAAGCAGTCCTCAGCCTCCCAAATAGGTGGGACACCAGGTGCATGCCACTGTGCCTGGTTTTCTTCCTCTTGACATTTATCAGTTTTCAGTTCTTAATCCATAATTTTAAAAGAATAATTTGATGAGTAGGATAGTCTGAGTTAGTGTACATATTATTAAACTCCAGTTATGATTACTAAGTATATTTCATGGTACAGTGAACAAAATTCTTTATTTAAAAATCTATATACTTCCTTCTAGATCCTTTTGACTTGAATCATAACCTTGGTGCTGGAGTTTCCAGAAAAAGTAAGTATTAAATATAGAGATTCCCTGCTTATAAAACTCTGACACACTCTTATGTCTTCATCTTTATTGTTTTTTTCTTTCTTTAATAGTGACCAATTTCATCATGAAGGCATTTATCAATGGAAGGAAACTTTTTGGTACCCCTTTTTATCCACTCATTGGCAGAGAAGCTGTAAGTTTATATTTTTTAAATTCTGAATCTTTTTCTTAAAAACTTATTTTTTTATAGCACAAGGACCCTAATCCTATTTTCAAATTTATGTCGGGAATAGGGAAAGAGATGGTTGTAGCTCCCTATATTTTTCCTTATTGCACTTAATAATCTATGATGAGATTTTTTTTGTTGGATTTTATTTGTTTAATCTATTTGTAAGATTTGGTCTCCCCCACTAGACTATGAGCTCCATAAGGATAGGATCCATGTCCACAAGGTTCATCTTTATATCTCCAGGGCATATCGTCATGCGTTGTGCATCGGATATATAAAATAAACATTTATTGAGTGAGTGAGAGTAAATACTCAAGAGTTGGGATTGTTGAATTTTAGATGTCCATTTTGCATTGCTAGAAATCTTGATGAAAATATGCACAGAGAAGATAAAACCAAAGAAATAGGCTCGGCGCCTGTGGCTCAAGCGCTAAGGCGCCAGCCACATACACCTAAGGTGGCGGGTTCGAATCCCCAGCCCGGCCCGCCAAACAACAATAATGGCTGCAACCAAAAAATATCCGGGCGTTGTGGTGGGCATCTGTGGTCCCAGCTACTTGGG